CACCAGCACAGCCACTTCTTCAACCCCCAAAACAGTCAGTACCACCAGGGCCACCACCACTCAGAAACATGAGGGACAGAAGCCCGAGGCTCTGAGCTCAGGTACTGTACCGTATATCTGTGAACAAAAGACTTATTTATATGCTTATACATCTTTTTTTTTTTTTTTTAACTTTAAAAGACCCATTTTTAAATAATAGTCCTCCTTTCTATGTTTAATATGACAGCAAATCTGTATACTGTAGGAACAGGATGTGAAGTCTGCAGTCGGGATGTGACTCTGTGAGACTACACTGGCACTGTGGTACCTCAAAGCTAACATGCTAATCTTTAGCAGGTGTATTCACTATGTTTACACTATTCACCTTTACTTTTAAAACACTGTAAAGTCTCAAAGAAATGTAGTTGCGTCAGTACAACATCAGTCATGCCCATAAAAATCGGTTAGTAATCCAAAATTTGACAGAATTTGACAGAATAATTTCCCTCTCTGTGTAACATTTCAATTTTAACATATCAATTTTAATATATTTTCAAAAGTGTGTTTAAACAAGGTATTCGGGAAGGCATTTTCACACTAACTGTCAACCAGTTCTGTGGTCTTGTTGGTTAAAAAGAGAAAAAAAATGAATTTTTGGTAAAGACAGCTTGTTCCTCACTGGAGTCACCGTCACTACTTAACCGTCTGTCACTGTGATGAGCCAGCAACTCATCAACTCTTTTGCAAAAGCATAGTCAAAATATAAGTAAGGCGCATGCACCAAACCAAAAGTGTCTGAGGTAAACCAACTGTCTGTCTTTAACACCCCAGCTGTGAATTTCTGTCGATGTGTCAGTAACACAACCAACCTGAAGGAAACCAACAGCCTTCAGGCGATCACAGCAACGGGTCGAATGTAATCACACCTAGTTCCTGCATCACACTGTTGTGTTCCTTCACCTCTCTGACCTGCTTAAACGTCTGTGGTTAATATGTGAACAATACAGTTTCCTGTCAGACTTGCTTGTTTGCTTTGCTGTCACGTCTTAACCAGACCAATAAGTGAAAACGAACAGCAGCTGTAAGAGGCAGTCAGCCAGTCGTTTCCCTTTTTGCTCTGTCATTAACAAAAGCCCCGACATTCGGTTATTCTTACTTTCATTCATTTTGATGGAAGCTCACGTTTAACAGCAGCTTGGTGTGAAAAATTCACAGTCTCAGTGTCTGCAAAGATGATTTCTTCTAAAATGATGAAATTCTCACCACTCTAGGTATCGTTTTCCCCTGCTTTATGTAAATGAGTTTGAACTCTGTCCCTTGCATGGAACCATAACTTCCGCCCCATTGCAAATGACTGTTGCAATAGATTATACATGACTCAGGATCTTTATGGTGTTTCCCTGCACTGTAGTTTGACTATTTCCAGTTAAGGTGTGGTAAGAAAGTGTTGTGAATCATCTGGTCGTCCAAACAGCATCAGAAACTGACTAAAAAGACTACGTTTTCACAACATGTTGTTTCCCCCTGCTTTATTGGTTGCCATGTAATATACGATTGGTTGGCTGATAAGGAGACAGCCAAGCAATAAAATAAACGGCAGAGCTGTGTTAGAAATAAACAATCCGGCCTAAAATACCAAGCAGAGAATGCAGTGGAGTTGTATAGGGATGTAATATTTGTGTTGTGTTGGTGCACACTTCTAGTCTTGTTTTTATCGGGACGAGCCTGTTTACAGGACTCAATCCAGACCTGGATAGTGCTCCACTATCAGAGGTGATTTGTAATTTAACTGCTGTTGGCACAACAGTTGGTGACCTACAATAGTTTTCCAATGGCACCAGCCAGATATAAACCAGGGTCGCTGCAGTACATAGTCTGTACCTCAGCCAGGACATCCACTAGTTTGACAGACTTAAGTTTCACTACTTAGATTATTTGGCTTTGTTTTAGTTTATGACCGTAAGATGTTAATTTGAAACACAAGGGTAATTATCTGCTTTCAACTGCAAAAGTTTGTCGTCTAACATTTCCACTCCGATGTCACTTTACAACATCTGATTGTTTTCAAAAGGAACAAGTTCTCCGACTACAGTAAAGTCTCCCGCTGCAGTGGTTTCTGTGTCCCACAAAAAAGGAATAGTTGTGAATTTAAAAGCTCCCAAAAATGTTCCGTTAACCTCCATCTTAAACTCAATATATCAAAGATCAGAAAGGTTTCTGTTCCACATTGACTTCAGGACCGATAATCTGAGGCACATGGCCAAAACGTAACAGTTCATTCGTTGTTTAAGATCTTAAACTTTGTTCAGGGATCCAGTAAAGTCCTCACATCTCCAACTCAGCAAAGTCATCCAACGCTTGGTAGTCTGTGAGGTAGATGACTTACAACGTGACCTTAGAGGAAGGTGTTGAGAATGGCTTTGAATTTAATTTAATGTGCCTTAACATTACACTGGACATTCACAGTTTGTTTGATCCAGTTTCTCAGAAGGAGATGACTAATTAATGCTGAGGCTCAAAGGTGAGTCAGTGTGGGTGCTGGAGGAGGAAGTTATCTTCGGGTCATAGTACATCGTGACAAGAAGCAACCAGCAAGTTCTACGTTATAGGTGAAGAGATTAACCAGCGGAAAGATTAAAGTCGGTTTCACAGAAGTACAATCATACTATGAGGGTCGGGTCAATCATCCATCTATGAGGCATGATTAGATGATTACATGACCTACTGGAACACTTTCATACCACAAACAGATCGTTGAGTCTGAGGAGTTTTCACGTGTTTTAGATTTTATTGATTTTGCTCTGCTAGCTGTGTGGCTCATAAAATGTTATCTTGAGCCGGGCATGGAAGAACCCCTTGACTTTTTATCTATCACTGGTATCAAGTCAACATTGGTTTATGACCAAATACCTGCAAGGCTACCAACATTCATATCAGCTTTAGCTGTGCTTCGTGTTAAATGTGAAGGCAAATGTATGGTTTCCACATTCCTGTAAGAAAACCGATGCAGACTTTGACGGTAGAAAGCCAACACAAACATGCATCAGATCACATCAAAGACAGAAAAAGCCAGTAGAGGATGTTTCTGAAAGGCTGGTTGTGACATTGTGCTTTTTCTAGGATAAAACAGCCGGCAGCAGATTGGACTGTGCCCAGTGGGTGGACACAGCACAGAATTTACAGTGTTTTGGCTCCATCAATGGAAAGAATGTACAAGATACCTCTACAGTCTGGCTTCAGCTACAACTCTTTTAACAGTGTGATCTGTGTGAACCCTCATTAATTTTGCCAATAACAAAATCTACACCACGTATACCCTTGCGGACGTGCGAACGCTGATGGCAGAAATTGGCCTTTAGTTAGAAAATGAGAACATTTTGTCCGCGCTAAACTAAGATTGTAACTAGAGAAACATACCTGGTTAGTGTCAACATTCATTTTATCTTTGATGTTAGCATTTAACAACATTAATATTTAACTACGCAGAGCCTCACAGTGCTGCTAGCAAGGCTCTACACTTGTTCTTACCCTAAAAAGTATCACCAGAACCATGAGGGATGATGGCGAACAAGCAGTGCTGTACAGGAGCACGTTATAGCGTCCATGTGGTATCGTTGGAGTGTGAGGATTGTGATCACACACAGAACTGTTAGCATGACTGCTGTATAACTTGAGTTTTGTTCCATCTTAGTAATTTGTAAAGGGATGAATTATATATGAAGAGGAGAAAGATGTTTAGGACGGGTTTTCAGACATTTCATGCATTCCAAATGTTTCCTTTTCCGTACAGCACATACTGCAGCATCCTTATAAAGTACATACTGTTGCATGCAGAACATAATAGTTTGTCATGATATGGGGCCATAAACTTTGACTTCCTCTCTCATGTATCCACTGCTGTTTGCATTATGAAGTCATCTGCCTGTGCACTGTCGGTGGCTCGATCCTTGTCAAAAGATACGGTGACGCACGTGACGTATGTTTAATAGTGCAGAGGACCAGAAAAGCATGCTGACGTGCAGACTTCAAATTACCACCTGCTGTAGGGGGACATCCTGGTACTTTCTGGCGTGCTGACGATTTCCTATTTTTCTGTCGTGCTATAGAGCATGTAGGCATGGATATTGGAACGTACTCTAATTGTCTCTTTCTTGCTCTGTTCCTCTTCCAGGAAGTGTTGTTGTGATTGTTTTAATCTTCATTGCAATTTTCATCCTCGTGTTGGGAGGTCTGTACTACTACAAGATCAGGTGAGTCCACGTTTCTATTAAGACAGTAACACTAGTGTGAACAAGTTTCCATCAGACTTCTCGTATTACAGCAGATGATTCCACTCTAAAATGTTTATCAGTACTTCTGACTTTGAGTATAAACCTAGTGTCATCTAATCTTTGTTCATGAATATGTTTCGTGAAGTAAATTTAGTTTGCTCACTGTTTACGTGTTTCATTTTTCTCCCATCGACTTCATCCCTCGCTCCGTTTCGTCTATTTTCCTTTCCAGACGGGCATCCTACGGTCGTCTCCAGGAGAACAACGAATACGGCACTCTGGGAAACTTCAGCAACCCCATGTTTGACCCTTGAAACTTAGCGCCTGACCTTCGATCCCAGGAGAACCTTAAAGTTCTCGTCCTACAGCCAGAGCCATTCTGACCACAGCAGTGTGTGAGTGATGAGTTCAGGACGGTCGGATTTTGTGACACACTGTCCGGTCGTTTGATTGCACTGAGTTGCAAAATGCAAAACAAAATGTGATGTTTCTCTTGATCCTTGCTCAAGTGGCCTAATTTACTGGAAGTACAATAGTAGATTTAACTCAGGTAGCTTTTCATACAGCTCTGACAGTTTGTGATCACATTCCAAGTGGGAACTCTGTTGTTTTTTTTAAGCGTAAATGTGACAACGAAGACTTGAAAATGTTTGAAATTTAACTAATCCATTTCATATGAAGTGAGTAAAAGGGTGTATTTTCATAATAGGCATAAGACAGAGAGACTAACCTTTGACAGAAAGCCTACAGTATCCTTGTTTTCATTCTGCTGAAGTGGTCTCGAGCAAAGCACTGAATCCACACCAGCTCCAAGAGCCACAATCGAACAAAACAGGTGATTTTGAAAGAACATCTTGAATCTCATATACATTAAATCTGGCCTTAACAAAACACAAGACAGAAAACTGCCTCCATCCCTGATCAGGTTTATTTAAAAGTGATTTTTATATTGTTGAATGTTTTTGGTGTAAAATTTCTTCATGTTTCTGTGATTCTGCTGCAGTTTTGATTGTAGTTTTCCTTTTCTGTTTCTTCACATTCAGGTAAAGAGTGATGAGTTATGATGGTTTTTTTTATTGTGTGATGTGATTGAATCATTTGTGCAATAAAAGTGAGGAAACAGGAGCGTGAATTACTGTGATGCTGCCTTTCTATGAGTTTTGGTCCAGACTGAAATAGCTCATCAATTAGATTTATAGTCATGAAGTTTCACACAGAGGTACCAACAAAGAATGAATCCAGCTTCCTTCATGTTCACCAGACTTTTTATTTAGCATCATTGTGACATCATCTGCACCTTCTTCATTGCTAATTACCAAATCACACCTTGGAATGAAAAAGTTCTGTCTGAATTTGGAGCAGTTTTGGGATCTTCTGAAGTTTTTGCATTCTAAAAAGCAAAAGTTTAATGCGGTACGACTGCCTTTCAGACCTGAAAATGACCCACACCCTAAATGTACAACATCAAAATCCTCTCTCATTGGTAAATTTGATTTTAGAAACCAGTTAAATGCCAATAAAACCCTTTAATCCTGCTGATACTGACCTGATTGGTCCTTCTTTGTGCATTCAAAGCACCGATTGGCTCACAAGCAGAAACTTACAGACTTCAACTTTGACGGTAGAACCTTTGTGTTGTCTAAATAAAACAGTCCAAAAAGGCGTTTATTGGACAGATAATATTGTATCCGAGAAAAATGTCAGACAGAACTTTATAATTCCAGAGTGACAAAACGCTAGCATGCTAAACTCAAACGGTAGCCATGGTACACATAGCAGCTTCATGCTTGTTGGCACTGTTATTGTGAGCATTCTAGCATGCTAAAGTTAGCATTTATCTCTTATAAATACAGCTACAAAAGGCTACTAGTATTGCTGTAGCAGTAACATTAGCTCAGCAAAGGAGCAGAAATAGAGCCCAAGCAATAGCATTACTTCCATTTAACTCATATGCACCTTGTCTGACACTCGCCCAAACTAATCTGCATATTAGAACTGGATCAAACGGCATAATCTTAATAAATTATAATACCAAGCCAAAGTACAAAGAACATGGATTAGAAATTATTAACCAGATAACATTCAGTATCCACATACATGGTAATAGCAGCTGTAAATGGAGCTTCAGTCTTATTTGAACCTTCCCAGTTGTGAGTTTGAGCCCCAACTCTGCTGCTGGACATGGAGAAGGGACGATGGGATGTTTGTAATGATGCTGACTGAAGTATTCATGCCGTTTAGGATACTGACATACGCACTGATTAGCTGTTCAGAGCATCTTCTGGTAATAAACATCAAATGTCTGTCCTAAAGTTGGCACTAGAACAAAAGGTCAAGGGGTCATTAAAGCACACAG